TTTTAATCGTTTTTGTCTTCGTACCGAGCCGTATACCCAGAGGACGAACCTCGGCAGAACGGTTGGTGCATGCATGAGAAACAAAACGAATTATCACCTCGCATATTCTATGAATATGGGATGATCTTAGTGAGTGCAGTACATTCTTTGGCAGTTTGTTTATAGCTTGTTTTAGTGATGGAGATGCGATGTTATTCGCTGACACATCTTGCCTATCGCTTCTTATGTGCCCTTCAAAGTATTCGAGTAGCGGTGACCCATTAAGTCTTTCTCCCTTCGCTGTCTCTTCTTTTTCATATGATGTTTGGCGTTTTTGAGACAGCGAGAGTTTGACAACGGACGCAACCTCATCCCATTTACGTGGTTTCTCCATTTGCATTTCTGTTTCTTTTCTGGAAACGTAGACAGTATTTCTGAGTTATCCATGGATTTGTGACATTGTGACCGTCTTTGATCAGCTTCGTCCTCTTGTACTTGCTTGATGAAACTGACGGTGTCACTGAACCTCTTGTCGTCTAGCTCTAGCCACTGGTCGCATTGAATTACTCACATACTTGGCGCCGCATCTCTGATTGAATTCCGGTTTCTGCGTTGAACCTTCAGATCGGGTGACCTCACTTGACGAAATTATGGCTAAGGTGGAAACAGCAAACAGCGCTTTCCTTTAACCGGGCAAGTCACCCTGCAGACAACGGGAGATTGATTTGAGGATGAAGTTTTGAATTCATGCAGATTCATCCACTCCACTCTCTTCTACTGTTCGGAGAGATGGAGACCCTATGAGTCGAAAACAAGGATCCTTCGACTACTGGCGTTGACAAGTCATCTCTCGTACACGATTTTTCTACCCAATATTTAACAGTACAATCCGTTGCACGTTGCAACATCTATCATTCTACTGTCATTACAGAACAGTGGCTGCATTCGCTTCTTCTAGACGAAGTCACACTGAATGTCACCTTGATCTCTGGATTACATCGTGAAAGGGCGGGCAAGAAAACATCTGCTGGAACCTTGTCTGACTGACTTTGAAGTCTTCTTTCTCCCGGCAGTATACTGGAACGAACGGTGGAAAATTGAGTGGCTGAACTCAGTGACTGATGTTGATTAACAACAGCATTTCGGGACGTCATTGGATAAGCTGGCAGAACCACTGCTAATGACGTCAAGCTGTAACAGCAATAGTGTAATTTGACGACCGTTGTTTTTCCGTTTCCTGA